GCCGGTAATGAAAATAATAATGTTCAGCCTAACCACATTCCCATAGTTATGCACTCACACGACAGTTTATTAGGTACACCGTGTTAGTACTGGTTTGAATCCCCTTTCCCCTTCAGAACTGCCTTAATCCTTTGTGCCATAGATGTAACAAGGTGGCATTCTTCAGAAATTCTGGTTCATAATGACATGATAACATCACACAGTTGCTACACTTCAGTTGGTGCTAAGGGGCTCAAAACGTGACAAGAAAATATCTTCCACATCATTACACCACTACCAGCCTGAGCAGTTGATACAAGGCAGGATGGATCCATGTTGTCATGATTTTTATGTTACAGCAGAAGTCAAGCTGTCATCTGGAGACTTCAATGTTTTTCCAATATTCTGGTGTCCAGTACTGGCGAGTCTCAGTTTCCTGCTCTTAGCTGAGAGCTGCACTTGGTGTTGTCTTCTGCTGCTCTAGCCCATCTGTTTCAACATGTTGCATGTTCAGTGATGCTTGTCTGCATAGCTTAGCTATAAGAAGCAGTTGTCTGAGTCACTGTTTCCTACGTATCAGGCAACAATTTCAGTAGTATACTCAGAAGCCACACTGCAACAACCATGCCACACACAAAGTTACTTAAATCACCTTTCTTACACATTCTGATAGACCATTAGAACTTCAGCATTGACTAGCACTGTAGATAGTCTTTAAAACAGACTAGTCTGATTTTTAGTCTTTTCTTTTATATTTCTATATTTTTTTAATTTTAAAAGATTTATCCTTGTGGTCCAATTTGACTGGATTACAGAAGATAGTGCCCTTTTACGTCCTGTAATGAAAGCATATTTTTGATCTGAGATAAAGCCATTCTGTTGGTGATAATAAAAGGAAGTGAGGAAATTAGTTCAGTGCCTCACCACTAAGTGTTCAGCCATAGCAAATGACATGGCTGTCAGTCCACCACCCGACCAGCTTTTTCTCTGGCTTAAATGGGATTTTTCTGTTGGCTCTGTGCCCACGAGTTACTTTGGGTCTGACCTATGCTATTAACCCCGCATGTTGCCTCCCTTGGTAGTGACAGCAGGTGAAACCAGCCAATTTTGTTGTACTTGGCAGAGACATTAATTTATAGAACGTTCTGACACTGAGGTCATCATCACGAGCCTTTCTTTCTGTCTCTTCAAATCACGTTTTAATAGTGTGCAGACTCGTCAAAGTGAATTTTGAACAGTTGTGTGTGATTTTCACCGTTGTTCTGCATCCCACGATGCAGAAAATGTTTCTTCTTTCATCTCAACACAAAACAGAAATCATTATCACTACAAAGCCCTCCTGGATGCTTATTATCTAGTTTATTTTTTATTTTTTTAATGGACAAAAGAAAATTCAGCGGGCATTTAATTTAGTCTGTTTTCGAAAAGAAGAAAATCTATGACAATCATTCTACACCAAACAACCTATACTGCTCAAAAAAGTTCAAATAAAAACTTATATTTAGTTCACTGAACCTGCAAAGTTGGAAAACTTTTTAGTAATGCATTGCTACCATTTCTATTATTATTTCTAAGCCTCACCAATGGCTTATTTTTCAGTGGGCATTGTTACAAATTGTAAAACGTTCAGCAACAGTTTCAGGTTATAAATCATTCTTTGAGATTCTTGAATGGGCAGTATAAACTCCAACCCAATCTGGTAGAAAAATAAGTGTTGTTGAAGCTCATGTTGAATCACAAAAATGTCCACATTTATCTCAGAGGGCAAAACTTAAAACTGACATTTATAATTTACAGTAGAGTTTGGGGAATTTGCTGGTTCCTTTTTTTCTTTTTTTTCTTTTTGTACCCAAACACTTCCAGTACTTGTTCCAATGTCACTGAACATTGGCTTTTCAGATAAGCGCAGCATGCCAGCACTATAGCAATATCATATGTGAAGTCAGAGCAAATGACCAACAGGAGAAAACTGAACATTGTATTGGGAATTATAGTCTGACAGTGAGATTTGTTCAAGGCGGTAGGGTGTTTTCTCTGTTCTTGTGTATTAGCAGGGAGACTCACTGGCACACAGCTGTTCTTAATAACCATCATTACTTCCATCCAAATCAAATGTGCTGTGATTCTAGAGCTGCATCTTATCCTTCATCCGTTCATGTCTCCCTGACTCTTAAAATAGCTGTCAGCACCTTAAGATAAACATAGCAGTTGCTGGTTGACCTTGTTCATACAACATTTTATATTATCACATGCTTTAAGTTTTTGTCTTTTTCTTTAATTTTTAATTTTTTTTTTTTTGGCTAGCTGCATGACCCACAGTACGATAATATACTTTTACCACATGGTCCAGACTATCTCAACATATGTCCATCACCTGTGGAAATCGGATATCACATAGCACTACAATAAATCTTTCTTTGTTCTTGGCCCAAAAGTTATTTTATATGTGTATATATTAGATTGTTAAAATGTAGATTTTCACTAAGGCATCTTCAAGCTACTTCATGCAGGTGGTCATGGCTGATTTCATCTTCCATTGTACTGTTATTTTTTGGTTTAAAGCCTGTAAAATGTATTTTATTCCCATACCTAAAGCAGCACTTTGTGCTTAATGGTACTAAGATTAGGAAAATTAATAATGGTTCAGATTTTGCTCTGTTTGCATAATGTTGCAACCTCACATGAGAGAAGGAACCAGGAGATTTCAGCTGCTATTTGCAATTCTTGCTTTCTGTGCACACAGGAACAGTGACCAGGGGTCACAAATTCCAACACTAGTCTCCGGCTACGTCCACACTAATGCGTCTTCATTTGAAAACACATAGTTTTCTCTCCGTTTTGGCCTCCCGGCCACACTGAGACTGCATTTTCGCTTATGAAAAACGCAGTGTTTGAAAACGCTCTCGAAAACGCATACATTTGAAAACTGTGCGTTTGCGTCGCAGTGTGGATAGCGAACACAGACTTTCTAAAACGATGACGCATGTTAGTCATATGATGCAGTCATGTGACCAATTAAACTAAGATAGCGGAGGGCATTATACAGCAGTTGTCTTGTTTGCTCTCACTTTTGACAGCTCTATTACAGATTAATATCAGTCTGTACATGCTCCAGATAGCTTTTCTTCAAATTCTTTCATTTCACTCCCTTTGGCAACTTTGTACTTTTGTGTTACTCGCAGCAAAAACTCCACCTCATTGTTAGTCCATTTAAATAACTCGGTGCTTTTCCTCGACATTTTGCCGCAATGTTTCAAAGAGCCTGAAAGTAATAAAGCGGCAGACAGAAATGAGGCGGGCCGAATCTTCTTGCGTATCACGCATGCACAGGACTGGAGCGTAAGCGTTTTTGGCCATTTAAACGTGGACGCGCAACTCTGTGAAAACGACTGAAAACGCTAGTGTGGACGCGGAGCGTTTTCAGACGAAAACGCCGTTTTCAAATCTATCCGGGCTAGTGTGGACGTAGCCTCCATCATCGGTAGCCAAGCTCAACACAACCCTAAGCTGTGAAAACACTGGCAATCACATAAATGAACAATAACAACGTGGGACCAAACACAACATAACAGCAATAACTTATAGCCTTGTAACTTAACATACTAACATAAATACTCTCACAAGTCTTTTGCCAATCAAGCTGATTTTGATTCTGATGTTTCTGTACAGCAAAGTGTTTGTTACTGGCCTTGCTGCCAGGTATACATGTTGCAATGCATGCTCTCTTTCTCTGTGAAAACGTCTTTCAGTCGTCTAAAGGAAACCAAAATGGTGGAGATGCATTTTCACAGAAACATTTTGGAGTCTTTGCTTGGTAAAATTTGCTACTGCTGTCAGGGAATGTAATCAATGAGTGCATCGAAACGCTCCTATTCCCCCATCGCTCTGCTTAATAATTCAACGCCAAGCGTAGCCTCTCTGGGCTTTCACTCTGAAAGGTGAAGCATGACCTCCAGCACAGCAGCAGGTGGTGCACACACTGGTTACTCTGTGCAAGAATGGAAGATGGAACTTGCTTTTCTCTTTAATTCTATTATTGGACTCTAGGGTTTGAGGATATTACACTCTACACATGGGTCTATAGTCACATGTATTACTTAATAATAGAAGATAATAGAATCTGAACTATCTAAGAAAAACATGCGACTCTAACCTAGTTTTGCAGGCATGAAAACATTTTTTAAAAAAGACTTGGTGTCAAAAGCCACGTATTAGGAGCACTTGGAACAGCAATATTAGAGCTGCTTTATTTAAAATAGCCAACTGTCAAAACACAGTGTGCACACATCAAAGATGTGCAATTTTTAGAACGGTGAGACCTTTCAAACAGCAGACGGTGTCTCTCGTCAGAGCAGAAAAAGCACAATTAACTAATAATGTTAACAATTGTTCAGTTCCAATTAAGTGTCCCAGCAGTGACCCAGCATGTAAAATAACAACCATCTGTAGCTCACGAATATAAGAAATGCAGTCATTATTACTTTTTACCCGTGTTTGACTAGAATGTCTCTTGTGAAAATGGCCCATTGGATGGTAATATACCTATGCAAATCATTTGCACAGGACATGATATTTTCAAGGAAGTTTTAATGGAAAAGTATAGAAAAGAGAAAAACTATCTAACGCTATTCTAGCCCAACTTCTCTCATCCCAGTCTGAAAAGGACAGGAGGGTGAATCTTGTCTTGTAAGTTTGAGAATTTAGTTTTATCTGGTTCTCTGCTGCTGTACTGCTGTTCAGTCACTTTGTGTGGGCGGACAAACCTGCGTCTCCAAAAAAACACAGTTAAATCCAGCTTATAGGTCAAGCTGTATTTTGCTTGTGGTCTATTGCTGCCTACTTTGCAATTTGTACTGCAAATACGGGTTTGTTTTGCCACACACACACACACACACACACACACACACACACAAGGAACACAACCCAGATGGGGTTAATCCAATATCATTTACAATAGTTTATCATGTCATATGTCATGGGTGTAATCCCATTTGTTAATGACTTTTGGATCTCTGTTTTAGATTACGATGTCTGGTAAAGCAACTGGAGAGAGGAGAGGCTTCTCTTACTGACCTCAAGAAAAACCTTGAGTATGCGGCGTCTGTGCTGGAATCTGTTTACATCGAGGAAACAAGGTAAGAAAATGTTGGAAGTTGCTTTAAAATGGTTAATTTATCAAGAAATGGTCCGTTTATCAAGAAAACCCTGCAGCTCTAAGGGTAGAATTTGCTGAAGTGGAAACTGGCTTAAGTAATCTGGTATCAGTGCTACAGTAAAGATTATAGAATAATTCATGTGTCATGATTTTAATTAGTTTTTATGACTCTAAATAGAATTTACAGACCAGAACTTGAAATATTGGTTTAATTTTCTACCCTGTGCTAGAATGTCTGACAAGTAAGTTACATACAGCCACCGGTATAATAACTAATCACAGAAAAGCAGCCCCCACATTGCCTCACAACATAACAACTAATCACACAGATCATCTCTCCAGCTGATTCAGTCTAGCTCAGCCGTAGCTTCCTGCTGGCTGTATGTTAGCAAATTCTAAATCTCCTTCTTTGCTGGCAGCCGGAAAAAATAACCTTTAATCTAGCTACCTAAAAGAAACTAAAACCTGTGGGGGGCATCTTTATATGTAGGAGTTTGATCATTATTTATTGGTGCTTGCCTTCCTGTAGACCAAAACAAGATTTTTCCAGTGGAGTTTTGCATCAATGCATCCTGGGCTCAGTGCCACTAAAGACAGGTGTGACTGGGTTAAAGAAATATAAAGAAGCCAGAATGATTTCCTCCTGTACCAGAATGAAAATGTGTGCTGCCAGACCAGCACTGACACAGCACTTTCGAGACACGTTTGGCTGGCTGTGTGACACAGGTTCTCTGCTAGTGTGCTCATGCTACAGAAGATTGGTTGTTTTCATTGGCTTAACCTTAGCCATATAAATAAACTGCCATCATTAAAATACATCATAACAATGTGGACATCTACGTCTGCCTCAGCAACATCTGTACTACCACAGATAACACCTCGTCTGTTCTCCTCTTTCTTTTATGGCATATTAACAATCTGATAATGCTGCTATGTTATAATGCAGGATATTGTAATAAATTGTAAGCAGTAAATATTTGAAGACAACTGGAAGCCTATAAAAGGCTGATCAATGCTTTTCAGATTTTTCATACTTTTTGGATCAGATTCTTACAAGCAACACATTTTCATAATATCCATTCATCCATTTTCTCATGTGTATCCAGTTCAGGGTCATAGCGAGGCTGGAGTCTATCACATAAAACGTGGGGCACATAAACTACCAAGTTGTTAATGTTTGCTGCACCTCAGCTTAATGTAACATTAAAATATTGTTACTACTGTTAATTAATGATAGTTAGCTCGTTAATTAATGATGAGAACAACAAGCCCTCCTCATTTGTTTCTCCAAGGCAAGTGAAGGCATTTACACACAGATGTGGATTTCTCATCATCATTTTCTCAATAACAACAAATGTTTTTACAGGAAAGGGACGTTAATAGAGATGCACTGATTGCAATTTCTTGGCCAACAACTACAATTTCTGATGTTTTTCTAAGTATGACCTCCTGATACAATTTTCTTTTCCAATTCTAGTTTCTTTTTATAGGACATTTAACCAACAGCATGTATAGTCAAAAATAAACATTTCTGTAATACATAAATACGGTTTTAATCATAACTTTTTCAGCTGAGTGGAGGTGATTTAAGTGATTTAAGAGCACATCAGTGTGCAGCCATGAGTGTGCGCAAGTGCGTTGCACTTGCATGAAAGGGACCAGGTCATGATTAGACATATTGAGACTGACCGGCCAGTCACCAGTCCAGGCTGGATGATTGGTGGATCTTACCTGAAGGACCAGGGAATCCTCTGAAGTTTAGGGGTAAAAGATAAAGCCCTCAGCCACAACAAGGTAATGAGCCACTTAGGGATCAATAATAATGATCCAACTATATAATAGTATAGACCAGAGTCATTTTACATAATCAATATTTTTTCATTTCACACTTTCAAGTGGTAGCCAGATCTTTTTCTCAGAGGTTGACATAGCTGCTGATTGGCCAAGCATCAATATCAGGTAGACAAAATCAAGTATTTTACCTTAAATGACCTGTATTACCTTCAATGTGAGAAATTTACTCTACATCAATTTATAAATACATGTACTTCACTTACCACTGAAGTTTTCTGTGACAAACATGGGCAAGGGGTATATACATTTAATAAGTGGTCTTTAAATTTCAAAAGAACAAAATACAAATAATTTCTGTTCTGCTGCCCCTCTGGCCAAGTTTAAAAATAGAAAATTACTTGGGTAAAGTCATAGAATCATTAGTGTCACTGCACATTTTAAAATTTGTTATTAGGAAATATAGTAGGTCAGTATATTCCAAAAGTCCAGTGAAGGTCCAAAATCTGAGATACGGCCAGGCTTATGGAATTATGAAAACCTCTCATCATCTACATCCAGTCAGATTAGGGTCAGCAATGGCAGCGCCACCCTAGGATGGAGGATGATGAACTATCCAGTGCAGAATCCATGTAGCGCCATAAAACCTATGTTGTGAATGCTCCCCCCCCCCCCCCCATCTTTCTCTCACTCTCTCTGCCATGCGAGCATGTATTCAGTTCAGAGGGTTTGCAGGCTTTGCTCTTGATCCCTCATACATGTCAACACAACAGGGTGGCTGTGGAGAATTATAAATTGGATTGGTATTCTGCGTCCCGGTGCTTCAAGAGGCCTGGGTTGTTTTGATCTTACATAAGAGGTAATATTATTTGATGGACAGCATTAGGATTTGAGTTCTATCCTTTGTGAATGTAAATGTGCAATAAACAATATATATTTTAGTAAATCTTTGGTCTCTGCGTCTTCCTTTTTTGTCCCTTTATTTCTGTCTTGCACTACTACTACTACTACTAATAATAATGATGTGGTTTCTTCCAGGCGCTTGGTGGACACAGAAGATGAACTCAGCGACATTCAGTCAGAGTCGGTGCCTTCAGAAGTGCGGGACTGGCTGGCCTCCACCTTTACCAGACAGATGGGCCTGATGCTAAGACGTAATGAGGAAAAACCTCGCTTCCGAAGCATCGTCCACGCCGTTCAGGCTGGAATATTTGTTGAGAGGTAGAATTTGTTTGTGTCGCACAAAAACACTTCCACGATCACATCCGAGCCTGGAGCCATCAGCCCTAAATAATTCATGGCCTATCACCTTTTATTTCCCCCCTTGCCAATCTATTATTGGTGCATCCAAATCAGTGTCACGACTTGAAGCAGTTCAATCAGCGTCTTTAGTTTGGCCTTGCATAACAAATGGATAGAAGACATGGTGTTCTAAAGCTGTTTTGTTTGCTTTTGTTTGTTCAAGTAGTTCAAAGTTTTGTGTAATTTAATGAGGAATAGTAAATAACTGAGTTATGCCGAGGCTCGAAACTTATTTTAAGTCACCCATTTTATTGCACATGCTGTTTGCTTTTGATAGATGATATGTTGATGTGTAAATTTGATATGACATAAGTCTTTTTAGATGAATCATAAAAAACATTTGAAGGCAATAAGGCAAATACTAAAATGCAGTAATAGAACTTTCTTTTGTACATAATTTAAGAGTAGTTATTAAAGCTGGGGGTTGGCAACATGTTTTTGGCACTACTAGACAAAAAGATCAATAATAACCTTTCAGCATATAGTAATTCAAGTGGTCTGGAAGGGAACTAGTGCCTCTCCTCTGGTCATTGCTTACAATCTTTAGATAATCAAATCATGACAGGAGACTTTGACCACAGGTCTTTTTACTCTATTTCAGATGAAGATGTATGAGGTGACTAAAAAGCAAAAAAGACTTTATAGTGAGAGGCAGGAGTGCAGGTTAAGAATCCTTTACCGAGGGAAATAGTGGTTCTTTGTAGCTAAAAAAAAATAGTTTGAGACCTTACTTTTGGCAGGTGTAAAGCTCATATATAAGAGGCTCTTAGAATAGATAAGCAAAAGCTGGAGGAGGGTTGTCTGTTTTTAGGTTTTTCTTTATTTACATCTGTTGGTGCTTTAATAAATACTTAGGTATACAGCAGAGGGAGGAAGGATTCAAAGCAGTAAAGGTGAGAGAGGCAAACCGTTTGGCATATTTATTATTCAATTACAATATATATACATATATAAATAATATATTTATTCTGTCTTGCAATGTAAATCTCTAGTATATTATTGCTGATAGGTGATGAAGTTCTTACTTAAGACTGCCTTATCTGAACGTGTGAGCACCAAACTGAATGAGAGCGACTGACAAGTAGGAGAGAGAGGAAATAATTCAAAATTTAAAGCCACACTCTTTGGTTAAAATTTCAATCTGCTGGAAATGTGTGCGCATCCTCGGAACGCTGGCTCTCTCACCTGAGTCGACAATACATCATCAGTTCCTTGGCAAGCCTGGCTAAGCACAATCATTCGGAGAGCTGCATACAGCTCTAGGCTGTGCTTTATCACACAGTAACATGCAACATGTATTTGTTTAAATCAGTAAGCCTCTAACATGTGAGTTATAATCTTTCTTAATCTGTTTTACAGTGAAGCCATATTGGAAAATGGAGGATTAAAGTGAAAATGTGGAACAGCGTGGTGCACTCTGAGCTGTCCACTATCTGTATAGATATCTGCCGTTCATTACAACTATTGTGATGCTAAATTTGAAACTCTAGCATCTGTTCTTATTCCACTAAATTGCGAGATGCTGAGTACCACACACCAATTTTGTAGCCATCCAACTGAATCTAATGACTCGTTGGTCTCATGGGGAATTACATAGCTTGTGTTGCAGCTTGCAATGAAGTAAAACCATTTTTTATCCTCATATATGAGGATAAAGCTTTCGCATGTAAAAAAAAAAAAAAAAAAAAAAGACTAGCTTGCAAAGCATTTACCTCTTCTCAACCTAACCTGTCTAATATAGCTTCACAGTGAGTTGTGCATATTTGAAGCTTTAGGGAAACCAGCAGGCTGTGGTTTGGGGTTGGTGTAGTAACCTCTGCTGTTTGCACTCAGCAGTGCTTTTCATTTGATGTTTTTATCTCGTTCAAACAGGATGTACCGGCGTACCTCCAATATGGTGGGACTCAGCTACCCGGCTTCTGTCATATCTGTGCTTAAGGTATTAACGTGCGCACTCACATTCAAAAAGAAACATACGCATAAGGAAAAGTTACTTGGTGCACACATACACGCTATGAAAATCGACATACTCTGAAATGTTTATATGAAGTGGACTTTTGGCACCGTTTGTTTGTGTTGTGTGTTTTCCTTTTGTGTTGGTAGAGGATGAATAAGTTGTTTGACAAGGATGGTGTCATTATTTAAATGTTTCTCCTTCATACAGAATGTTGACAAGTGGTCGTTTGATGTCTTCGCTCTGAATGAGGCCAGTGGTGACCACGCACTTAAATTCATATTCTACGAGCTGCTCACAAGATATGACCTCATTAGTCGTTTCAAGGTAAAGCCCCAAGGAAATAATGTACCACCTGAAACTGATATGTGGTGGTTTATGCCATTAAAACAAGAAAAACTATTCAGTATGAGTAAGAATCTTCACTGTTCCTTATTTGATGGATGTGGGCACACTCTCCTCTCCACCTTAGAATAAGTTTATCTCACTGTATTTTAATCATTGTATGAAGGGGGCTGGCCGCATTTCATCTCAACTGATAGTACAGGAGCTCATTTTCCATAGTGTCTTTGAGGTGAGGACACTTCTTGAAGTGACATCATCTCAGTGTGTAAATGACGTGGGCAATGAAGCACCTATGAATATGTAACTGCACTCTGAAATAGTTCATTAGTTTAGGACAGTCGTTTTAGATGTTGTGCGCACATCATTCAAGTCACCAGATATCTTGGAGAAGGGTTTCCTCTTTACATTTTCTTGTTGTTTTGTCTAATGTCAGATCCCAATCTCTGCGGTGGTGTCATTTGTTGAGGCCCTTGAGGTCGGATACAGCAAACATAAAAACCCCTACCACAACCTGATTCATGCTGCTGATGTCACACAGACTGTGCACTACTTGCTACTCAAGACTGGCATGGTGGTGAGTAAGACATGGACAAGTTAGGTAACATAATGTTATACACATACATACAGTAACCTGCTAAAAAGAAACAAGCAAAAAAAAAAAAACTGTTGACCATCTTGGTTTAGTTCCAAGAAAGCAAGCTCACGGGATCGAAGCTTAGTCTGTGAAAGTGAGGGGATTTTATCCACATGGTATTCAGAACATCTCTGTCAGCCTAATTGCAGCTTTGCCTGACATTCAGCTTTTAAATATGGCTTTTTTTAGCCTGAAGAATCCATGAACCATCTTTTTAGACAAAAAAACAAACAACAGCCAAAATTAATTCTAGGAAGGTTGAAAACATCTAAGGAATAGGCACCGAATATAAAATAAAATATTACCTCTTGCCTTTTTTTCCTGGGTATATCATTGCTGCTCCATAGATTTTGCTGCTTTTGCTCTTTTTACTATCAGGTGACCTATATTTCACTTCTTTGCACCGAGGTGACTTTAGGGCATTTCTGATGCAGCATTTATTCAAAAAAGGAATAAAAAACACTAGCCTGAGTTCAAAGTCCCTAACCAGCCGGCTGCCCCCGCTTCCAGTGTTTTTATTTAATCACCTTAATAAGGTGGCTGCGACAGCTGTCGACATGGTATGTTTCTCTGGGCAGTGCCTTGCGGAGGAAACCACATTACTGCTAGAACCACAGGCTCCTTGGAGAGCAGGAGAAGGACATCTATCATTTTGCAGGCCCTCCAGACTCCATTAAATCAACAATCAACAGATCATTCATAAAGCAGACCCATGAGGAAATACAGTGAGTGGTGGATCAGCCATCATGCACCCACCCTGTTTTTAATGACTCCTCCACCCCCCACTGTTGATTAGTCACCAATATCGACTGGGCTTCCTGAGCTAAATGCCCACTCTGTGTATGTGAGGGCACTCAGATGCATGCACATCTTAGAGAGGGGAAAAAGCCCTGATTACAGTGTGCTGATTACAGATCAGATTTTAGATTTTATAGATGAAACTAATGATTGATTCTCTGAAAAAATAATCCACAAATCCACCAATAATATTAACTAAATAATTATATATTGAAGAGTTGTTATCGATCTTCCTCACTGACATCTCAGCCAGAAATTAAATAAGATTATCTCAAACCATTCCTGCAACAGTGTGCTGCTGCACTGACATTATCTTCTTTGCTGTAATCATGAGTCGCACATCAAACAGCTACAACATGCCCCAAAAACACACATAGGAAGGTGTGATGTGTAGTCTCACCTTGTGACACTAAACTTATAGTAAACTTAAAAAAGAGACTTGTGGGTTTTTTTTGTAATATTTGGTGACATATGTGGAACAAAGCAGATTGACAGACCTTCACAGAGAAACTGAAACCAGAAGTGATGAAGTGACAGTTTAAAATGCAATTTTCAATAGAGCTTGTCTTATCTGAAGTTTCTTTTTTGCTTTCCTAACCTTTTCCTCTATCTCCTTCTTCCCATTTGTTTCCTTTCATCCCCGACGGTAATGTATTTCTCATGCCGCATACTTCTCTGGATCTTTTATATCACTTTTCGCCTCTACATTTTTATGGCTTGATGTTCTATTCCCTGCGTCTCTCTTTTTTCAATTCACTGGCTTCTCATCTCTCTTCTCTAATTTTTGTCCATTCTTTCCTCTTCTTTTCATTACTTTCCCCACGTCCTTTTCCTGTCAACGTCTGTCTTTTCCATCTCGTTACCTCTTCTCCTGAACACCGTTCCCTCTTATATATCCGTCTTAATGCCCTCCTCATCATCATCCTTACCTCACCCCTCCTTTTCCCTCGCTCCCTTGTCCTCCTCTTTTCTTCTTCTTTTGCCTCCAGCATTGGTTGACTGAGCTTGAGATCTTTGCCATGATCTTTGCGGCGGCGGTGCATGACTACGAGCACACGGGGACCACAAACAACTTCCACATTCAGACAAGGTAATGGATCATTAAATCATAAATGCATGGCACTGACTCGCCCGATCAATGTTTTCATTTGCAGCAAGAGGGCTTTACAATCACACTGTGATCGCCTGCAGTGCAGTAATAACACTGGGGCTGGTCGGGAGTCCAGATGAACTCCAAAACCCATCCTCTTGAAAAAATATCTGTTCTACAAAACAAGGAATTGCTCAGCATTTTTCACTCTTGTCAACTTGAAAGAAAAACATTTACCATCATTTGGAAAAAAAGGAAAAACAATTCACAGGACTCTATATACAGCTATGAAAAACTAAGTACAGCATTACAGCTTCTATAGGACTTAAGATAAGTAGCAGACAGGTGCTGATAATAAAATGCATTTGATTAATTGATCATCAGCAACTGTGACCATCTCTGTAAAAGCAGACGTTTTGGCAGCTTACAGGTCTAAAGCATTTAGGTGGTTGCCAGGAGAAAACCTCTTCTCTTTTTGGGCCTGAACAAACCCAAAAACATCTGGAAAAGTGTTCTTTGGACAGATGAGACCAAGGTGGAGATGTCTGACCACGATGCAGAGTGTCACATTTCATGAAAACACAGCATATCATGACAAAACACTTCATACTAGCTGTCAAGCATGGTGGCAGAGGGGTGATAATTTGGGTTTGTTTTTTATCCACAGGACATTTTAAGGCGAAATATGGGCCCATCTGGCTAAAATCATGGAGGTGTACTTACATTTTCACAGGAGCAGAGTCCTTTGAAACTTTTTTGGCATTTCACATAACACAACAATTAAAATCTATTATTATGAGAAAAAAAATAAGATTTCTTTTGACTAGTGCCCTCCTATTTTTAGGATGCATGAACTTTATTTTATTCATTTTGATTTAGAACCTTAGAAGAGTCAGTGTTCCTTAGCCTTTCAATAAATAATGATTTTTAAAAAAAAAAAAAAAGTTAACTTTGATGCAGGTTTAAGTAAATAATACCCTCCACATGTTATTTCTTTATTTTTTCTGTTTATTCTTTTCATTGTTTTTCTGTTGCATTTGGCAGGTGAGAGTTCAACCAAATTTTAGTCTTTGACCATGTCAGATGTATTTGCCAGAAAAGAAATGTGTCAGATCTTTCACTAGTTGCCAGACTGCAGCAACAGCTTTGTTGTGCACTCAGTGTTTTGAGCACAGCACTCTTTATTGTGTCATCAAGCTACAGTTTTTGAACTAAAGTAAAACAGAAGCAGCTAAATGAATCTCAAGTAGGCAACCAATTTGGATCTTTGATTTTGACTAGCATCTGCAAAAATGTTTAAAGGATTTAGTAACATCTGTGGATCCCCCATGTGTTTTCTGAGCTGTTTGATTTCCCTGCAATAGACCAAGAAAAGAGTTTTCTTTCTTTTGGACTGACAGGTCAGACACAGCTATCCTGTATAATGATCGTTCAGTATTGGAGAGTCATCATGTCAGCGCAGCCTATCGCCTGCTGCAGGACGACGATGAAATGAACATCCTCTACAACCTCTCTAAGGATGACTGGAGGTCAGTAACACAGACAGAGAATGATAGGAAGGGTGCAGGATAGGTGAGTGACAGCAAAGGGGATTAAAAGGCAGATGTAAAAATATCACATGAGAACAGACGAAGCATGAATAAAACCAAGCAGAGCGCACAGGTCAAGCAGTCTCACAATGAACATCTACTCAAAGTAAACTGAGCTCCTGTTTTTCCAGGCTACTTATACACAGTAGAAACACAGAGTCAAAATCACCAAAGCTGGATTACCTTCAAGGCTCAACAACTTTATAGAAATGGAACTGTTATATGAAGACAGCTCTAATCTGATTACATACAGCATAAGCTACTGTCAAATCAGATATAAATAGTTCTCAAAAACCGCCTTCATCTAATTACAAAGACTTCAAATTAAGTCAGCTTTTATTAGCCGCAGGTTTGACCATTTTTTATGCTGCACATGGCTTACGTTTTCTCTCCTTTTTTCATCTAGAGAGCTGCGGGCTTTAGTAGTGGAAATGGTGCTGGCTACAGACATGTCCTGCCACTTCCAGCAAGTTAAGGCCATGAAGAACTTCCTACAACAACCAGAGGGGTCAGTTGCCATTTCCTTCATTACAGTTTATAATGTGCGCCCTTGCCCCTGCAATTTACATACCCATTATCCCCGCTATCAGCCACCATTTACTAACCACCTGCCATTTACAACCTAATTAATCCTGCCCCGGAGGAGGCACTTGGAGAGAAACACAATAAACGGGCCTGTTTTATATCAGGTGGACCTCTGGAATGAAAAACAAGGGAGGATTTCTGTTGCTCAGGTGTTGTTTACTCAACATAAAAAAATTAAATTCAACGAGTCATTTGCTGCCAAATAGTACCAAATGTTGCGCATTACACAGTGCAGGTATTCAGCAGAGAATTACCACGGTGCCTCTCAGGCACAAACGCAGCTTGTTTCTCTGTGCTGGACGTCTGCAACAGAGTTACGGTGTAGTCACACCAGATTTGGCAGGGTGAAATTTATTTACACACTGTGGCTAAAAAAAAGAGCCGCTGCCAGAAATTGCTGGCAGGTTTGTTGGCATGCCGTCCTTTTGCTACTGCTGATGAGCTAGCGGAAAATGTTTCGTTTTCACAGGAAAAAAATATAGCACTTCCTTTGACAGAATTATTGTTCTGCAGCTTGTATTCTTTAGCATTAATGCTCCCTCACACTTTACAGTCGCTAATATTCTCTGGGCGTTATACTTTGGTAAAGAATATCAGAAATCCTTTGCACAGCAGAAAATATGAGCAGAGTCAAAAATGGAAAAAGAAAAGGAAAAAAAGGAACTTCTCAACTTTTTCCTCTCTTAAACAATTTAGACAAGAGGAAGACAAGAAGAGAAATTATCAATAACATCACCCAGAAACAATGAGGGAATAACACTTTTTATCTCTCTACCTTGCAATGTTCCCCTGGGAATCCTTGAATCCTGGCATTCATGTGGATGTTATTCTTACATGCACCAGCCACAAACATTGTTACACACTATCTGATGGAAGCTTCCTCCCAGGCAGGATAATGTCCCCGATAGTAGAAAACAAAAACTAAAGTATCTAACAGAGCTGGTTCTCTTACAGACTGACTTGGCTGTTGTGAACCGCTGATGTTCACATTTTATATTCTTATCTCTTATTATGCCACAGGGATGCCTAACTGACACAAACTAGGGAAAATAAATGGTACACCATTTCATCCCAGAATGGAATAATCATAAAAAAAAGGAAAAGAGTAAAATTAAAACAAAGTCACTTATGGGATAAACTTTCATAAGTTCGTTCCCAAAATTTAATACAGACTACAAAATGAAGTAAACTTGTCAAGAAGGCTACCATGTAATCTCTTGTGTATTTTTTTTTTATTTATGTTGAACCCATACAAACAACATCAATTGGTAACAGATGTGATTTAGTGTTAATGAGGCGAAGTGGGAGCCAAAGTAGGCTACAGCTAGCAAGTGACCTTGCAAAGACGCTGTTTTTTAGGTTTTTAACTCTGGAAAATATCCAGAGAATAAAGTAGGAAAATGTCAGGAGTTGCCCTTTTTCAGCAAGACTGTGCACTTAAGATGCGTTCTCAGTACTGCAAATACTCTGTTTGCTTAAGGCAAAGGGAACTGTTTGGAGAGACTGTGCAAGAGGAAGGACACGTGACGCCTTTTGGCTCCCTGTGAATTCAGTAGATATTTGCCAGCTCTGTTCTCACATAGGCTTGGTCGGATATTATGTGGATGTCGTACTAAAGGTGTTGTATATAAAGGCCTGTTTAATAGCCAATCTCACTGCAATGGACACCTTAGGTTTGTACCTCTGACAGTCAATATCAGGCTGCAGTTCCTGAGTAAAGAATGACTCGAGCCACTGAGCTGTGAACCAGTGCAGAGAAAAGACCCATACATAAAAAATATGGATGGCAAATTATGCTGAGGTGGTTCTTAATGTTATCCTAGAGGGAGAATGGCTACAACGTTGTTTCTCTTTAAAATTCTTGCAGCGAATCTATATAAAAAACAAAGTTTAGGCCCTGCTTTGCTTAAACTAAATGGTAGTGAATGACGTTAGATATGTGCCTGATTCATTTAGAAGTTCTACATAATACTCTGTTGGTATTTTTAAGTGCATTAATGGTGTGCATCTTTTTAAGCACTTTAAGCACCCTAACACGACTGCAGTGACCGATAACTGTTGTACATGCAGACACTGAGCTGAAGCGTGCATACAGAAATAAAAACACTATCAAGCAAACTATCATGCGATGTGATGACTCATCAGTGCTGATGCAGCTGCTGCATTGACAAGAAACATGTTGACCTTCAGGATATTCTTTTCACCGTGATAATGCCGAGCACTTATCTGAAAATTTCTCAGAAGGCACTGATATGTAGATAAGTGGCTTCCTAAAAATATATATTGGTATCAACAATATTGTGTTCCCTGTATTTGTGAATATAACTTGAAAATTGCTGACCTGAAGGTAATCGTCAAGGGAGAGTATTGGGTGCTCACACACACACGCACACACGCAAGCATGCACCAAAATAAGAGATTGCAGTCTGCAGGGAGCTGTGATGCTGAATAGACTCTAATGTGAAGTAATTCAAACCAGACTGCTGCAGGCCTGCTTAGAGTGCACTTTAAGACCCAATCTGCCACAAATGGAATGAGGGGAAAAACGTGAGCTAGTCTTTTTCACCTCTGTTTAACCTCTGCTATGCATGTATTATTGTGCCTGCATTTTCATGTGACTGCCTTTTTTCTATATGTGTCTGTTCACAGTGTTGGGAAGGTTACTTTTAAAATGTATTCCATTACAGAATACAGAATACATGCCCTAAAATGTATTCTGTAACGTATTCCGTTACGTTACTCAATGAGATAACGTATACGTACATAATGTATAACGTATTCTGAATACTTTGGATTACTTAACATATTATCATGCATTTTACAACTACATGAATGTACTATTGCTGTGTGATTTATTACTATTACTGAAGGTCCGTGGCCCCGAACCGTAGTTAAGGGACCTCTGACTAATATGGGTTCCGTGTCGGGCTCGTAGCCGAAAAATAGCTTTACTATTACATTCTGCATTCTGCCTATTAGCTTAGCACAACAACAACAACAATAAAAAGGCGCTCTCTCACCCAGGAAACACGCAGAACGAGAGCGTCACCCTGTAACCATGGCAACCGCAACGCTGCCGCCTAGAACGTAGCTGTCAAACAAAACCGAAACAGTCCTGACCCGCCACAATATGAAACAGGAAAGTACCACCGTGTAATCCATTTATTTCAACAAAGTAACTGTATTCTAAATACCACCTTTTTAAACGGTACCTGTAACGGAATACAGTTACTCATATTTTGTATTTTAAATATGTATCGGCGGTACATGTATTCCGTTACTCCCCAACACTGTCTGTTCATGATTCAGTCCGTTTACCATGAGATTTTGATATTAGGTAGCGAGCTGAGATCTTCATACTGTGTTTTAATGTGGAAGTAATATGAATGAAGAGGACTTTTGGATGGCTGGATGGAAGAATATACAGATAGACACATAGTGCTGGAGGTAGGGGGTTCCTTACTGTAATGAAAATAGTGCATTTCATCTTTTTGAGTATTGAAAATTAGATTTAAGATAGTTATAAATACAAAATTATACATGTATGGTATGTATTGTACTATATGTTACTGTGATACCCACAATTATGTCTTTGTGATCTAAGAACTGGTGTCACAAAAGTGTGACCAACACAGTCATCACTGAATTGGCCGTTATTTTGATTTCAAGCCAATATCTGTAAATCTTTGTGACTGCACGTGTGGTCAGCTCAGAAACAGAAAGACATAAAAACTCAAATCAACTACAGACTACTGGCTTTCTGGATCATGCTACATTTGTTCTGTCCAGGATCACATTATGCTATGATTACACACATACACACAGACCCACAATGTGCAAACAATACCAACTATGTTATCGCATTTAGTAAATAATCTAAGTTTAAACAACATATGCAGTCATACTGTTTAAACACCTGCCACACTCCTCACAGCCGCCTTTGTAGTAGTTCTCACTACAGTTGGTGTCTCCAGGACCTCGTTATGTTATGATTGCACACGCACACACACACACACAGACACACACATACACACACTTGAAGACTCCCAAAGTGAAAACAAAACCAGTTTTGCTGTCTTGCTGTCATGTTGGAATAGTGTTTGTTTAATATTCTAAGTGACTGGGGACAAAAAACTAAACTCAAGCCAGTGAATGTGCAGTAAGACATAAAAGACAATAAAAAGCTAACCTGTCACTTAGACTGAATTCCTTGTACAGACTCATTTCTGGACAGCTGTAGACTCTTGTGCAGCTGTGCCAGGGATACTTACCGTTATTGGCATTTTCTTGCATCTTTTCTGGGGTCTTTCATTAATCTTATCCAAGATTAATCTGCAATGTCTTTGTAACAACTTTTATTTTTTATTTTTTGTCAGGTTTTTGGCAAAACCTGAAGCTGGTTCTGAACTTGGCAGATAAAGTATTTCTGACTCACATTCATTTTTTAAAGCCAGAAACACAAAAATGATCTCAGTCAATACAGTTTATCATGATACCTCCAAAATCAATTAGCTGCATCGCAAATGGTGATTTGTCCTTCTTTCCTTCTATCATTTTGTTTTTTCTTTAACAATAGCTTCTTTTTTCATTTATAAAAACACACAAACAAAACATAAACCATTAGACTTTTCAAGAAAACAGCCATGATGGCAATTTTTAAAACTGCCTGTCTTCTCTCTCTTAGCATCGACAAGCCAAAGGCACTGTCCCTGCTGCTGCACACAGCAGACATCAGCCACCCGGCCAAGACTTGGGACCTGCACCATCGTTGGACCACCTCCCTACTAGAGGAGTTCTTCAGACAGGTGAGTTCCTCTGTTACGTCAGAGTAACATGTTGGATGATGGTGGTACAGTGTATGGTTTAGTGGTGGTTTAAATGCAGAGAGAACATGGCATGCTTTTCAGTTGATCTCAGACACAAAGGTCAAATTTACCCTCAGCTGGCAGTTTACTAGGTAGTCATGCTGAGAACTAATCAAGCCTTTGGGGGAAGATCATGCTCTCCAATTTCATGAAATTCTGGAATTCAGGGTCATAAATCAGAAATATATTGTTGCCATGATCAATAAGCCACATGTAGCTATCTATGTTTGAGTTTTTTTATAGCTTTGATTATATTTTGACAAACTGACACCTGTTAAATTTGCTGAATTAATTTATTGATTAAAAAAAAACATCTAAGGTGTTATACATTAAAAATGATATCTTCCCTCCCCTTATGCCCAGCGGATTGCGACAGATGGATTCACCTCTCAGAGTCTTCTTATTAAAAGGGAGTTTTTCCTTCCCACTGTTGCCTTGTTCTTGTTCACAGGGGGTTGTCTGATTGTTGGGGTTTTCTCTGTATTATTGTAGGTTCTTTACCTTACAATATCAAGCACCTAGAGGTGAATTGAATATCTAGCATGCAAGATTTATCGACTTTTAAATGCTGGCGTGAGATTGAAAATTTCTGAGGTGCTACTGCGCAGTCCAACAGAGCCTTCATGAAGACATGAGGTTGAAGAGAGGCATTGGAAGGCATTGGAAATAATATCTTCAGATTTCTTGCTGATAGATGAAACACATGATTTGAAATGCAGTTTATTTATCTTTTGGTTTTAGTCATTGCTCATCTTTGTCGCTGGTGCGTTCTATTAGTTTTTGGGTGCTTTGTCAACAAAAGCGATTTATTCAGTCACACTCACATGAAGTGTGTTTCACACTTCATGTGAGTGTAACATAAAAAAAATGAAATAATAATATTGGGAAATAATGCTGTTAATGTGAAGCTGTTGCAAAACACTACCAACAAGAGAAATATGCAGTCACACCAGCAAATGTGTTTTTAAAAAGAACAACGTGCTCCATAGAAGATTAAAATGTACAGCGTGACAATGAATTTATGCTATAAATAATAAATGGCGTAATTGTAAATCTCATAAAGAAGGACAGACGTTTAAATGGTGCCACACTGCTTAAATCTCGTCCATTATTAATCCACATTGTTCCCATTATCAGTGCTATTGTTATTGTGGTTGCTTTCACGAGCCTTTTGTCTCCGGGGATACGAATTGCCGATAAATAGCCTCTCCAAAGAACATTGCCTCCCGACTCCACATCTCATCTGTTTGTGACAAAACAGAGGAGAAAATGAAACACATTTGCGGCCCAAACGCACTCGGGGAGGGGCTCAGACGAAGCCAAGGTCTGTTGATAGAAGTGTGAGCATATGGTGTGCAGTGGTAAGTGCGTAGGCAAAGATGTGTGTGTGCATGTCTGCAGGGTGCGTCGTATTTGCCCAAAAATATCAAAGACAGGAGGATTTTGACTTAAGAAGCTCTTGTGTTTCCAGGGGGACAAAGAAGCTGAGCTCGGGCTGCCGTTCTCTCCACTCTGTGACCGAAAGTCCACGATGGTGGCACAGTCACAAATCGGTGAGAGGCTTCCCCACCCTCACATAAACCATCTGCACAATACAGTACACCACTTTTTTTGGGAAAAACTTCTTGCAACTGAAGGAATTTTGCACTGAGGAATGGACAAACATTTGAACTAGCTAGAACACGTTTAGAAGTGTAGAGGTTACATAGGCCAAAGGTGTACTTACTGTTTTCACAGAAGATTACTGAATCTATTGATATTTTTTGCATCATAAATTATTAAAAAGGCTCATTTTTGTTTCGAGTAATTGAAGTCTGCCACATTTGAACAAGAAAATATCAGAAAAATGTGTGGAAAAAAATAAAAATAAACCAAAATAAGCTATTTTATTCTGTCTCCACAGAAACACTAATCATATAGGAAACTGGTATCTATTTTGAAACAGCAGTTAATATTTGCTGATAAGCAGGCTGGTTTTGAGTTCCCTCTGAGGTTCACTCCTATTTCACTTTTGGTTCTATCACTCTCGCATCTTGACTTCTTTATTTTCTTCGCCAACAGGAATATTTTCTTTTACCTGGTAGTTTTTAGTTAATTCTGTCCTTCAGACCTCCAACTAACTGGAAAAATCAAAGAACTGTCTTCTTTCTGTTTTTTATTGCTTTAGTTTTCCCGATAGATTTCTTACCCAGTGGCAAAAAAGAAAGGAAGGCTTATAGTCAACCAGTCTAAATGTGTCATTATTCTATAATTATTACATTGTGCAGTCTACATCTACATCACACACTACATCAAACTGCTGTTTGCCCGTTTTACTAATTAACGTTACAAAGATTTATTTATTTTTTGCTCTGGGCTTCTTTTCTTCTTTTTAACCTTTAATAGCACAAAATAGACTGTGACTATATACCGCGGACATGCTAACATTACCTTTGCCGACATCATCATCTCCAGGATTCATAGACTTCATCGTAGTGCCAACCTTTACTGTGCTCACCGACATGATGGAGCGCATTGTCACGCCACTCATTGAGGAGGCCTCCCATTCCGGTTTGACTGGTTTCAGACGCTCAAGGTAAGCTGCAGTGGTTTCTCTCAGAGATTATTTAGGAATAAAAAGTTTAGATTTGTTTGTGCAGCTCAGTTGGAAAACCAAGCAGATGGAAGTGGGTGACTGTATGTAAATCATATTACATTTTATTCAACCAGTCTCGTCGATCAAGAATAAAAAAAACCTGATGTTTTCTCTCCTCGTGTACCTTTCCAAGAAACTACTTGCTCAATGACAAGATTAGACCTCAACAACCCTGCTGCAATAACGGCATATCTAATGGAAGTATTGAGAACAGCAGATGAGTCTCCCATGAGTAATCCACTTCTGTGCGTGGAAATGTTTCCACCTTTCATCAAGCAGAGCTACACACCTTGAAATTGACATTTTAGGGATGCTAGTCGAGTTCACCTCACTGGCCGTGAACGAGAATGAGCTGTGGTGCTGGATTGGCATACACAAAAGCCTCTCGAGATACAAAAGGAAGCGATTTTGCCTTCACTGGTTTAATTAATTGGCTCAATACTTTTCCTCTGGCCTCGTACTCAATCACGTATGTGCAAGGCTTTCAAAGCTCCCAAATAAGAAAGTACATTCCGCTTGCTTTTTTGTTCATAATATTTAAACTATAAGGAGAAAGATAATTAAAAAACTTTAGTCTGTAAATTGTTTAAACTTTATGTTTTGTTAAGTGGGCTCATTGCAAAATAAAGCAGTACTTGGGGAGTCTGGCTCTGCATCTTTTGTTGCACCTGCACATCAATATCATCCTCCCTGTTCTCCTCAACAGCAGTCATTAACATCACTCAGTGGGCCTCCAGTCGAAGCTAACCGAGTGGAAATCTCAGATAGTGTTGCCACTTGTGCAGTCTCTTTGTCTACATACACACCTGGGTGCTTTTGATTTTCCTTGGACTGTTTCTTCACACCGTTTATAGCTGCTTTCAATCACCTGTAACTATGTCTGTCTCGCTTCCTATGATTACCCACCTCTGCTTCTTCCTTGCTTTTTCAACACGCAGACAAATCTAAAAGCTCAAGGTTTTTTTTAGCTGAAAAAGAATTTCTTTTTACATTTATGGTCCCCAGAGACAGATTCCTTCTGACTTTTAAGATCCCATAGATTTTTTTTTTCCTAGAGCTAACGTCACTGACATTAGTAACTTTGAATTAAATGTCTGCAACTATTAAAAGAATTGCAGGAAGCTGACGTTCTTGTACCTTACATAATAAATTGGAATATCTTTTTTGATCCATTAAAAGGGGTCTTCCAGCAGTGTAGAACTGCAATTCCCTGCAGCTGGAGGTCTGTGACTTTTAGTGCCTATAATAAAAAGTCCCATTGTTCAGTCAGTCATGAGCACCTTCTAAATGCTCGACTTTTGTTTGAAAAACAGGAGCTTTCAAAGTGTGACATGATTAACAAATATGATGGCAGCAACTGGTACATTCACATGGAAGAGCAAGGTCAAAGAGTTAAAATGAACCAACCTGAAGTAAGTTCACAATCACAGATATGAACTAGGTCAGATAAATTCAAAACAACGATTCTTTACCCTCAAAAAACATGAAGCAATAATTCTGAGTAAAATGTAACTGTGATGTATAAAATCAAAGGTTCATTTATTCACATAATGAATTGTTAAGAAAGATGTGCTTGGTATAAACTAAATACTGTATACCAGGCAAATAGATGTCATCAGACCAGATTGCATTAAACTTTTTTTGAGTGTATATTTTTTTATTACGCTGCCCTGGGGGTATTCTTTTTCAGTGGCACCTCCTCCTACTGTCAACTCCCCAAACTGTTTTCTCTATATCACTACAGAATCACACACAGGCTGATGGTAAAAGTAAAGAAACAAATTCAAGTATGTGTTTTGCCACTTTGCCGCTCACTGAGTAGGCACATTGGTTTACTAATTTAAAACAGCTTTTGCTGGCTTGCGGTATTACACTTTGGTTATGATTTACATAATCAATCTTTCATCAATATCTCCCATGAAAGACCAGATGATCTACGCAATGTGTTTTGTTTTTTTTTTTGACTGAAATATCTGACATCTTTTCCGTTAAGAAATTGTTCTTGAAAACTCCTTAAAATCTTCAGCCAGTCTTGTGCAATGATGCTAATGCCTCCATTGTCTTAAACACCACCAGCTGCACCCATGCAACTGCATTAACCTCTTTTCAGCAGATACATGCCCAGTGATGGTAAAAGTGGCTCGATTTCAGTCTCTCAGAGCTGCTTGAATACCTCTAGATACTTTATCTCTTGTTTACATTTTTCTTTTTTGTCTGTCCAGTCTGAACAGTATTAGTTCAGATGAAAGCAAAAGGCACAGTGTCAAGAGCATGGGCTCCGACAGCAGCTCATCGGGCCCGGGCTCTCTCCTGACGGTGGACATGAAGAACTTCAAAGCATTGTGGAATGAAGAAGTTTATCAAAACAGAGAGAGGTGGAAAGCCCAGGCCGCTAAAGGTATAGTGAAAATATGGTGATTTATGGCCATGGTAAAACTGATCTGTCCAAACAGATCATGACCTTCTCCACAGGAAATTGGCTTAAAAAAGCTGCAATGCTTTCGACTTATTCACAGGGGGGTTTTAACTGGCCTGCACAACAACAGCATTGGTGGGAACATGATCTGTTGAGACATGATGAAATAATACACCACTGCTGATCAGTATGTCAGTGTGGATTAATTTGTATTTAATTTTCTTCATACTACAGTAGCACAAAAAACAATAGACTGAAGCTACATATGTCTTGTGAGTTGGTGGAGACCAAAAACAGAGCTAAAAGAAAGAATGTTAGACTCACATTTAAAGTCCACAAAGTACAGCTCCAGCAAAGTTGCGTTGTGTGTTAACAAAAATCACTGTTTGTTAATCCTCATCTCGAATTTTCCTCATTTAAAGTAAAGAATAAGGAGTTATGAATATTTCTAAACTGCTCCCATACTCCATATTACCTCAGAAGCAGAGGAAAGAGCTAAAAAGGAAGCAGAGGAGCGAGCACAGCAGGAAGAGTCGATGGAGCCCCAGGAGGTCCAAGCAGAATCCGAACAGCCTGAACCAAAGGAGGACAAATTGGAGGGAGAGTCGCCCGAGTCGGAAGAGGTCAGCACACCACCAGATGGTAACACAGGGAAAACAGAGCAGGGAGCACAGCCTGGGAGTGCCACGCACAAGAGCCCCCCACTGCAGAACGGTACTTCCTTTAAACTATGTAATCCCACAGCATGGCCGGCTTTTAAAAGACGTGACCTAAGGCCCGATCCTCTACATGTTGCAGTCAGTACATACAGTTTACTGACATGCAAACTTTTTCTGGGAGCTTAAGTGATCATAAAAGTTTGCAGAACATAGCTAACTTTTCCATGGAATTTGATATTGATCAGTGCATCAGTGTAGTCTTAGATTAACTTCCAAAATGTAACGTTTTAATGAAATCTTCCGAGTACATATGAATGTTTACAAAATATTTGTTAATTCCTAACTAGACTGGACCAAATCCCTCCCTTCAAAGTCAGAATAAAAAACTACCCACCCTTAAAGCAAATCATGGGATCTTTATGTCTCGTTTCATCAAAACACTCTGAAGTCCAGATACTGTGAACAGTATCCCATTTGAGATGAAAAAGCTTCACATCAGCACATATGAAAAGCTGAAATTAAAATATACGTGTCACTTGGACTGACTAATGAGTTTGATGGATTGTTGTAGCTTTTTAATCCAAGAACAGGTTTGTTATTGTATTAGAACAGAATGAGAAACAGAAGGAGGATTTTTTCTATCCAATTTTTTTAATTTTGAAAAAAGAGAACAAATGCAAAGTTCCTTTAATTATATTTTTAGCTTATGAGCATCAAATTTCCCCATTTTTATTTTCCCAGTGTTTGCTTCAAGTTTTAAAATATTATCATATTCAATTTTTCTGACAGTATTATCAGCTTGTTCCATCTCTTTATACAGAGCATTACATTTACACTGAGCAAAATATTCTGTTTGGAATATTTTTTGTCAACTTTCCATCAGATTAAATTCTGTAGATTTGGGGATTGTACATAATTTAATGCTGCCTTCGTTATACAGACCATTCTGTGGGTCTGTATTTTACAATTACTCATTAGGACTATTGCATGTTTTTAAATGCTGATTTTAAATGTATAAGTAAAGTCAGAATAGTAACACAACCATTTCTTTTTTCAGGAGAGCTGTCAGAAGGGGCCGAGTCTCCAGAAGGTGAAGAAGACAAAAACAAACCAGTCGAGGGTGAGTGTAACCCTGCAGCCTGAAGCTACTGATAGAAAATAAAACTGAAATATCTTTATTTCCATCTATGTCTGTATGCAGGGCTGTGGAAAGTATTTGCCCCTTCCAGATTTTTTTTTGTTTGTTTGTTTCAGACTTAAATATTTCAGATTATCAAAACTTTAATAATGGACAAAGACCACCTGATACAAAATGCAGTTTTTAAATGATTATTTCATTTTTATGAGGAAAAAAAGCTATCCAAACTTACCAGGCACTATGTGAAACAGTAATTACGTCTATACATGTAGTACGTGTACATGATTTAACAATTGTGTATGCATACATGATTGTATGAATGATTGTGATTAACCACATTTTTTGGAAAGCATTCAGAGTTCAGTTTCACTACCCACAATCAGGCCTGATTACTGCCAGAACTGCTGAATCAAGAAATCACTTAAATAGAAACTGTCAAAGTGAAGTAGGCTAGATCTCAAAAAGGAGCCGTGGTATGATTCTCAAAGGAGTCATGCCACAATTTAAAGAAACAGATGAGACACAAACAATTTTTAGTCTGTAAAGTGTTACAAAGTGATTTCTAAGGCTTCCGGACTTTGGCAAACCACAGTGAAAGCCATTATCCACAAATGGTGAAAACATGGAACAGCATAGAACCTTCCCAGAAGCAACAATGACTCATCCAGGAGGTCACAAAAGAAACCAAAACAACATCTACAGAACTGCAGGCCTCACTTGCCTCAGTTAAGGTCAGTGTTCATGATTCAACAACGCGAAAGAGACTGAAAAAAATGCTGTCGGCCAAAAAATACCAACTTTAACTTTTTGAAAGCTTTTATTCCTGTTGCATCTGTGTAAAACTAACACTGCATTTAAAAAGAACATCATACCAACAGTCGAGCATGGTGGTAGTGTGATGCTCAGGAGCTTCTTTGCTGTTTCAAGACCTGGAGGACTTACTGTAAGTTACGGTACCATGAATTCTGTTCTCCACCAGAAAATCCTGAAGGAGAACGTCCAACCATCAATTCATGCCCTGAAGCTGAAGTTCACATGAAACATACCAGAAAGACAACTTCTGAATGGCTGAAAAGAGCAAAATGAAAGTTTTGCAGTGGCCTAGTGAAAGTCTGGACTTATATCAAATTAAGATGCGTGACTTTAAACAGGCTGTTCGTGCTCAAAAACCCTCCAATGTGGCTGAATTAAAATAATTCTGCAAGGAGGAGTGGGTCAAAATTCCTGAAAGGTGGTGTGAGAGACTCATCGGCAGTTATCACAAATGCTGGATCGCAGTTCTTGCTGCCAAAAGCGACTCAACCAGTTTAGGGAGCAATTATTTTTTCACACAGATGTGGATAAAATGTTTTCCCTTAATAAATGAAATAATTGTTTAAAATCTGCATTTTGCATTTATTTGGATTATCTTTGTCTAATAATAAAATTGTTTCAGTGATCTGAAACATGTAGTTGTGAGAAATGCAAAAAGAATAAGAACTCACCAAGGGGGCAAATACTTTCCACACAACTGTATCTCCCTTGAAATAAGGTAACTTATTAATTTTGTGAATCACAGCGTTGGAGTATTTGATTAGAAGATAACACAAATATATCATTTATTTTCCTAAATGATTAATATCTCTTTCCTCTTTGCCCCCAAACAGAGGTTGTGATGGAGTAAGTAAGCTGGGGAGTACCAGTGCCACTCTGTTGTCACTGTTGCTGTCAACTTGAACCTGCTTTAAATCTTGCATGGGAGAACTCAGACTCACGTTAGAGAGTCATTAGTTGGACTGTGCCGCCCTCTACAGGACACTGAGAAACAGCCACCTTTGCTTCCCTGTCTTTATAATCAGCCATTTTTTTCTTTTCTTTTGCTTTTATCACGTTTCTGCTCCCAGGCTCTCACGTGCATCATTCTTTTCTTCCTGCTTACTGATAAAGCCAGCTAAGATGATTTAATGACCTTAAAATAAGAGCAGCGGAGAGTGTTTTTTTTTCTTTTTTTCTTAAAGTATACCATCGATTTACTTTTCTCCAAGTATGTTCAATAAGTATGTTTCACTCAGCCACATACACGTAGCCATTGTACAAGTCCCACTTTGCCTCAGCAGCTCTCTTCATGGTTTGGTGTAAAACTGAAAACTTTTTTTTTGTGTTTTTAAGCAGTCACATATTTGAATTCTTCAATCACAGACAAAATGCAGACTTGTTTTGAAATGCAGAGTAAATGCACATTCAGAGGGACTCTTATCTGCTACATAGCATGTACAGTATACGGACATGTGTACAGCGCACTAGGTGTACAGCACTACTGTTTTATTCTCACGTAAAACACTCTTCCCCTTTGATTTGGGAGTTCCTGTTGGGAGCTTCTTATGGCCACTGAAGCCACTTTAGACACATTAACACGCAATCTTCACCACCGGTTGTGGCTCATTTTCCTCCTGAACACGTTTACTTCCGTAGTGCTTTCCTCAGACATCGTGAAGTTTTAACACATTTGTGCTCCTTGCAGTCAGGAACATATTGTTGATGTCCTCTTTACTGTATATATTAGACAGTCTGTATATGTCTGGAGAAGGAGTACAAATCTATCCACAATCCACCACAATTTTTGACATAGTTTAAAATAACAGTTGAAAAAAATATGGGAATGCCTCTTGTGCAATTTAAGACATATCACACATGCAAATCCATTCAAGTTTTTGTAAGATATAAAATTCTCTTTTTAGTACTTTTTTTTTTGGTAAAACAATTTGTATTGCTCATGTCACGTATGAATCATGCCCTAGATGTGTGTTAAGATCCTCACAAAGTTTGTCTTCTTCTCGATGCCTTCTTACATGAATGAAAGCTGTAGCAAAAAGTCAACATTGTTTGCTGAAAAATCTTCTATATGTATTTTTGTTTCCTTTTCCAGCACAGTTACATAACAGCAGCTTCACCTTCTAGGTTGTGGGTGTAGTGTTTAATGTACATGTTTACTTTGTGCTCATACACCTATTAGCAGGCTGAATCCATCTGATGCATCAGAGGCTACGAGTCCCCCCTGTATCGCTTCTTGGTTGTTTGCCAAGGTTTTTAAGGCTTGTAATCTTGTGTACAGATGATGCAAATATTGCTTACTGTGCAAATGTAACATATTAAACCACTGCAATGCAGGTTCAGCTTTTACTATTAATGTAATACGTATAATTGGAAGAAAGGAAAAGAAGCATCGCGGCAGTATTTGCAGTATGATGGACATGCTTTCTCCACAATGGTGAACTTTTATTTTATTTTCCTTGCATTCTTTTATGTGGAAATTCCCAAATTGACTGTGTCAAGGTCAAATTCCTGGCATATAGCTGGCTTTTACAATAAGTTGTAAGCATACTATACATGTGTACACAGCTACTGATATGTATAGTATATATTATCCTGCGTTCTAAAAGGGGTTATTACCTTTTTCCCCTTTCATTTTTTTCATTGTAACAGGAACATCAGTTCTCTGGTGGGGTATGGCAGTTTTTCACATGCTGCTTTTTACCTAAAAAAAGGAAAACAAAAGAAAAGAAAAAAATAGAGAGTCATTGGTTATCAGGCCAACTGACTGAATGTGTGCCTCTATCTGTACTTCCGTTTTCACGCCTTTCATCTGTAGGAAAATTTTGTGATGTCATTTTAATCTGTGCTGATCCGGTTAAAGTCAAACAAACCAGTTAATATCTTCCAACACACTCAAGAGTTGAAAAACACACGTTGTCTCTGTAAAGTCAGCAGAAGTAATGTATTTATGATCGCATATTTTGCTCTATTTCATTTAGACGCGTTTATTCTGGCTGTTTTGTGCCGTACGTATGTTGTCCCTCTGTTGTTTTATTGTACCGTTTTGCTCCTCCTTTGTCTTGGAGGATGGATTGTCAAAAACGTGCGTCTGTAACATGTAGGGACTTTTTTTTGTTTCTCCTCTATCTGTGTCACTGTGATGTTTTCTTGCACCAACTTTGAAGTCAGAAAAATTCAAGAGATTCATAAATGTAAATTTCTATTCTAACAGTCTCGCCAAATTAGATTGAAAAGAAAAATTTATTGCATCCTCACAATAGGCTGCTTGGTAAAACAGATTATAGTTGCCCTACTGAGGGACCAACACATGTACAGTCTTGTAGTTTGCTCTACCTTCCACTAGCTACTGTGATAGCCTACTGTATGAATATGTAACAGGAATTTATACCAACCATAATAGGAAACATAGCTGTTATGACATGTAAAGACTTCTGAACATGGTGTTTTGTAATGTTTACTATGAAACAAATCATTTGTTGTTCATTTAATGCTTTTTCCCCTCCTTGTTTAGTCTGATTCACTCTATAATGACTGATCTCAAACTGTTGAAATGACTGAGGTTAGATGGGTTTGAAAGATTTGTGTGCGCGCGTGTGTGCGTGCGTCTTTGTGTGTGAGAAACCGCCACAAAATACTTAATGTGCATTTTCTGATCTCCTCACTGTGATCTTCTCTGTTGATGAGAGTATGATGAGATGAGTGTTTGTGGGAGAGAAACAAAAAGTGATGCAGTGGACTGTGTAAACCTGAGTGAACAATTCATTTTGAATCTATTCTAGTATTAGTTTTAAATGCTCCATCAGGCCAATACTCCTGATATGTTTGCTTTTATAAAAAGCATTCATAATATCAAAGTTAAATTGAGACAAAAAGGATAGGTGACATAAAAATAATAATTTTAAAGATGTTGAATTTCACTTTGTTCTGTACTACTCTCTACTACATCCCTGAATAAACAGACTGACTGAGTGTGTGTGCGTGTGTGTGTGCGCGTGTGTGTGTGTTGCTGTCCCATGCCGGCCAGGCGGCCGTGTGTGCCACCATGCTCTGTGACTGCACAGCCGTATCAATAAATCTTGATTCAAAGGGCTCAGATCATGTCTGCCTGTCTTCATTTCTGCAAAACACCATCTGACATTTTTAAAGATATAAAGATACTCTACATATTTTATACATAAGAGTATCTTTTTCAAGAAAATGACCGGAGCAGTTATATATATAAAAGTCATCACTGAATCATGGTGAAAATTTCAAATCACTGGGTTAGAATATATAAAAGTAATTTTTCTTACATGACACAGGATGTTGATGATCACATAAATGGCTTTACAGATCATCATCTACATGTTGTAGCTGTTTACTGTCACCAGGGGACAGTAAAAATATGTGAAACAGCCAGTTTGTGGGCTGTGCTGCTTTTGGCCTCACAGACAACAGTCCTGATCTGTGTTAAACCTGCATTGTTTTCTTTCATTTTCTTTTACCAGTCAGGGGCAAAACTTCTGGTTTCAAAGACTTCTGGTCCCATAGAAGCCTATGAGAAAACAGCACTTGGACTTGACCTGCACAAACACTTTCCTGATGGGTTTATGGGCTCAGTCTTTCATTTCAGGTCATCGTGCTGTAAATAAAATGGTAATAAGCATAAGAGAATGCCACAGCAAGTGGATCCACATGTTTGATTTGGTAGATTTTTACACCAGATCTCTTTTCAGACATGACCCTCTAAGAAAGTTTGTCTCCTCTTTTGATTAAACCACATTGCAGATGTGTAAACTACTAAAAGCCATTAATTAATTAGAGCCATTAATAAAGTTTTAAATCTATCTGAATTTGGGTCATTCAAGTCGCCAGCAAGGTGGATTATCTGGGATATGTCCATTGACTTGGGACAGGATTTTAGTTTTGGTGAGTGAATGTTTATTTGCCTGCTAGTTACATTTCTAATATTTCACCGGTGTCTGTGTCTGTAGTTTATGGAGATACATTTCTAACCAAAGTTGTTAGGATTAACATTTTCTCCCCCTTATACCAATATGGGTACTTTTGGCTCCAGAAAGACCCATGTGTTTGGGTCCAGACACTAATTTGTGACACCATGGTGGTTATGTCTAGCTTTTATACTGTGTACAGCAAAGGTGGGAAGTAACAAAGTACAAGTACTGCAACACTCGATGA